AAACCCATTTTGGTTAGCATTAAACAGCAAGCCCTTTTAGATCTAGCATGCTAATTCCAGCCTGTCCATTTTTGATAGGTAGATTTTAATTCTGCAAAGAGTTTGGGTTGAATCTAATCAAATTGGGTTGAACTCTAGAGAATGTTATAAAATGCAAGTATTGATCAGGTTCCCTCTTTCCATTTTTGTTGATATCTACACCAGGGAGAAAGGAAGCCAAATCTGTAATCACCGCAGATAGCAGCTTTACACCTAGGCCAAATGTTCTTTCATCTTAAAAACACACTTGCTGGAACTTTGCCCAGCCTGTTATCTCCTCACTCAGGGTAAGTAAAACCACACCACACCCAAGTAATAGAGTCTTGAGAGCAAAAGGAACAAAAGTAATCAATGGGCAGGAAAAGGGTAGGAGAACCTCAAAAATATTCTGTTGAACTGCAGCTGAGAGAAAGCAACCATAGCCAACAAACTTCTAAAACTTTTGCCACCAAAAGCTAAAATGGTGGCAATCAGAATGGAAACTTGATGCTAACCCACACAGCATCCTCTCAGTAGCTCAGGGCTCTTCTACTCATGCTGCATGTGCTTACACTAACTGCATTACAGAAAGGCACGTTAAGATGCTCATACCTAAGCAGCCATTCACAGCATCCCCCATACAATCAGGGCAACAAGTATTACAGATCATTCAATAACCCTCTGCCTTCTCAAGGGAAGGGAAGAGGGGAGATATGTCAGCACAGGAGAACAGCAGCACAGACTAAACCTGCACCTCCACGCACGTGCACAGGATATGTTCCAGGCTGAGAACCTGGAACAGTGAACCACGTTACCACCACTGTGGTTCAGTGCACAGCACCACAGTGGCTCCAGGCACCTGGATGTGTCAGTGGTTTCTGCCTTTTATATTTCCTGACACTCTTGTTTATCAAAAGGCTACCTTCAGGTTTTAAGACTTCCAGCACTGATGCTGGCAAAGGTGCAACACAGCTCCCTTAAACTGAAGATCTACATACTACTTTGAAAGCAAGAATGCTACTTATCACATCATTGCTTAGAAGATGCTAGCAAAGCACCCTCTTTTCTTCCCTAGATTAGCAGAAGGAAGCCAACACAACTTTATAGGCCAGAGCTGTGTATAGTAACAATATGCACACATGATTTAAAACTCCGCAGTTACACATGTATACAGTTATAAGCCTCAACTTAGCTCCTCATGGGAGCAGTCTGAGGACTTACCCGAATGATCTGCAAGCATTAGTTTTCTCTCAACTCTGAGAACACACTACATTGCACTAAAGGCACTCATGAGCTGACTCTGATTTCCTTAAAGTGATGTTCAAGAAAAATCAAGTTAAGCCAGTACATCTTGTTTAGTACAGGCCAATATGCATGGACTCTTCCCCTCTGCATGCTTAGAACTAGTTTGGGAACTTGCTGGAAGTTTCATCAAGACTCTCTTTAGTGGCACATGACTCAACCCATCCCTGCTCACAGAGTAAGTGGTCTCATGATCCACCCCCTCATACCATCACCTTCCTTCCTATGAGCTTCCTTTCAGAGCACCAGCTCTGCAACCACCTTTGCTGTAACATTAAGCTCCCTCTTCAATGATCACTCATGTTTCTTCATGGCGTTAGAGATGCTGAGTTCCTTCCACAAAGTAACATGCCACAAATCAGCTAGTATAGCTCAAAAAAATTACCATTAGATACTTCATATTATGCAGTTGTGCTAAATCAGTAAAGGCATTGTCCACAACACCTCTTACTCATTGACTCCTTCATCTGCTCAGCTGTTTGGAAGGAGAAAGGCAATCATGGAAGACATCCAATCCACTGTCCAGAAGAAGGTGGCATTTAGGTGACAGATACCATCTCATGTCCAGTCCTTCTACTGCAGCTGGACAAAGTGTGCGTTTCACCACTCAGGTTAACAGTTATGGCAATATTTCCACTTTTAATTTTAGTAGTCGTCTAGCTAAACAAGTCACTAGGTGTCATGCTAAGTTAAATAAGTACCACGTCACTTCCATCCTTGCTGACATTCAAGAACTAAGCATTTGCCCACACCTTGAAAACTTCTAAGGTCAATCAGTAAAGCTGAAGAGATGTTTCCAGCAGAGGCTTTTGGGGTCTCCACACCACCCCTGGTATGGCACACTCACACACAGCTAATGTTAGCCAGAAGGCTTCGCTTGGATACAGACCGATTACAGTCACAGAGCATACAGCCTTACCACCTATCAAAGCTGGGAGCAACAAACAGAACCAATCCCATCGCTGTCACCCCTTGCACAGCTGATATTTAAAAACAAAGCTATTGTTCGCAGTGATTTTTTTTTTCCTGAAAGAATGAAGAAGAGATCTAATCAAGCCCCGATGTGAAGAAAGCTTAGAACTTATCAAAGTTTATCAGCTAGCAAATTGCCCTTCTTCCCCCAAATCAAAGCCCTTCAGGTGCACTCAGCTTCGGCACACAAGTAATTTCATATCAGCTGGATTGCTTGAAGACAAGTCTGTAGCTTAGCTGTTTTAGGCAACTAGAATCTACATTGGGAGTGTACACCTGCCTAGATCTGTAACAAAGAGATTCTTCCTTTCTCATTAAGAGTAATTTTTTTATTTTTTTACAAGCAAGAGGCTTGATAATCCATTAGTATGACCTTAACTCAGGGTGATGGTGCTGAAGCTCCAACACAACCAGAGGCAGGACAATGGAGCACGGCACTAATAAGTCTCCAACTAATCATGAACAAGAACAAAACTTAGACAATTTGAACAATAAAACAAAGCAAAATTTAACCTCAATGTTAACTGCATTGCCTTGATTTCTTAATTTATTGCAGAGTGGTTAACGACATATCTCACTTGAACAGGATTTGTGGCTTAACCCTTGAGAGTCAAACACACTCTGCCAAGATCAAGTTATGATTGCTGCCTAGTTCTCTTCCACTCAGCAGCAGTCAGGCAGTAAGACACTCAAGGTTTGCATACAGTGGAATATTTGATACAGCTCATGGTTATCACCCAGCTCTGTTCTCCCTTCCTCTTTCCACAAGAAGCATAGAACAAAACCTACACAAGGCTCTAGGTTTTCACACTTTCCTAGGGAGAACAGGCTTCCTCAAGCTCACCCAACCTGACACATTCCAGTCTCACTCAAAAAAGCATGTTAAAACAGATGCCTAGATGCTGCTTCCTTTTGTAATCCACAGGCAACTGAAGCCTCAACTGCATATGAGTTGAGACCGCATCAGAAGGAAACAAAATTCTTGGTGTACATTTTAGGAATTAAACCCATTAAGAGCATCAAGTGGCCCAAGATGTCACGGTCCTCAGAGTGGAGGATGCTACTACATGCAATTGCAGTTTGAACTCAAACACAATCTAACTAGTCATCCCAGAAAACTCCGCAGTTTGGATATACTGCACTACGTAAAAAAAACATGCAACCATGAACTGAGACATACTTTCTCATTCATCTCTATATCTCATTCATATTGAGATATACATTCCCAATTTTTCCCTGTGAGGGTGGTGAGGCAGTGGCCCAGGTTGCCCAGAGAAGCTGTGGATGCCCCATCCCTGGAGGGGTTCAAGGCCAGGCTGGATGAGGCTTTGAGCAACCTGGGCTAGTGGGAGGTGTCCCTGCCCATGGCAGGGGGGTTGGAACTCTATGATCTTTAAGGTCTTTTCCAACCCAAACCATTCTGTGATTCTATGATTTTATAAGCCTAGGTTGCAACACTAGTGGTTTGTTTGAAAAGCACTGATTGTCACAACCTGAAACCAAAGTATCTCTACAATTAACGGAGAGGTGTGGGGAGAATGGAGGCTGACTACCTGCTGTGCATCTGCATACAGGCGAAAATAATTTTCCTTCTCACCATCTTCCAGCAGTTCAAACTCACTTTCACTGAAGACTTACAGCTTCTCATAAGAACTGTCTGCCAATGTAAGGCAAGACCGGCACGTTAATTCAGACTTCAGATCTGCAGGTACTAAGAGGCGGTCTGAAGAGATATTACTCTTCAGAAAGCTACTGCTTTATCCTATTAGAAGTAAGAGTTAGCTATCAGAAAACCTCTTCATCAGTATTCACATATTATTGTTTCATTAGCTGAAGTACAGAAGCAACCTTGAAACTGACAGGCATACAAATACTGTTCAGAGCACAAGGTGCTTCTGATGATGAAATCATGTGCAAGCATGAGTATAGGAATAGGGCAGCTTCATATTTAGATCAGCATGCAGAAGTCCACCACTCCTCAGAATACCAAGGCCATCTGTGAACTACTGAAGCAGCCACCAGATTTGACAGGTGTAACTGAAAACAGAGTACTGCACGTAATTGGCTTTCTTTCTGTGTGTAACTTAAAGACAACATCCCAGAAACTTAGCAATAATCCAAGACTGCATTACAGAGAGCAACCTGACTGTGAACAGAGAGCTGATATAACATCAGACTAGGTTAGGTATTGTTTAGAGCTATAACGCAAGCTGTATCCTGTGTTCAGTATCAACCTTCAAACAAGGCTGTGCACAGTACATATCCTGCAGCAGGTAGATGCATTTATTTCTACTTGAGGTAGTGTTGCACAGTTTCACAGTAGAGTACAGTTAACTAGACCATAAGATAGGTTTCACTGTCCTGTGGAGTGATTATCTGCAATCAGATCATGTTTTCACAAATCTCCCCAGTAAATCTACAACAGGAAAAAGTTTTATACCGTCCTGAGATTAAAAAAAATCTTTGTCAACATGCCAAAGTTTGTGATAGTTGTAAGACCATCCATGAACATGACTGAAATACTTATGAGGAAAGACACTCTGTTTACTCACCTACAGACCAATAGGCCTTCTTATTGATGTCATATGCACAGACTGCACTTGATCTTCCACACTCTTCAACACCAAAACAGAGGTTTATTTTATAAAGCACATGTTTGTCCGCATCAATCGCTTCCCACGTGTAACTGAAAATAAAAAAAAAAGCCTGTCAGTTGGTATTCATATTGTCTGCACTGCCATCCTCTGCACACCAGTCCCTGAAATAACCAAGTCATAAAGCTAAGAGCACCATTAATTCAAGTTTCATATTTGCATAAATACAAATTTCATATCTGTAAATACCAGAAATAAGTGTTCTTGTGTTGAGGCCAAGAAGAAAACAGGTTTCACCACTTGAGGAGCAGATATTGGGTCCATTTTCCCCTTTCTTCAACACCCAACTGCCCATTCTTCCCTGTCAGATCTCTGTGAAGGCCACTCTGACAGGGTGTATCACAGCTGGTGAACCTTTTTCCTTGACAAACTTCTCAAACATCTTGGGCAGGCTGCACACTGCTGCACTTTATCAATACGCAGTAAGAGTGGCAGAAGTGCCAA